CAGAGCAGAATTGCTGGGTGCCTGAGTTTGGGATTGGGTTATGGGGGCCATAGGAACAGGATGTGGGGCCACACTAGCAGTGTTTGCACGCATAGCATTTGACATCAATTGTTGTGCGAATAGACTTTGTTGTTGAAGTGGAATGGGCATGGCGAGAGATGTGGCCGGAGCCCCTAGCGATGGATTCATCTGGTGAGGAAATTGAAGGGATGAAGAAAATGATGGTGCCATAGTGGTTGCAGTGCGTTGTAGACGAGGTACTGTGGAGGACATCTGAAAAAGAAACGTTGTTTTGGCCTGGTTTACCCCCTTAAAAATAAGAGTCCCACAGCACATAGGTTGAGGGATAACTCCGCCCACTTGGATAGCCACGCCCCTTTGATGTCTTCGGCACATACCTGAGGGCTCATGCTGCTTCCAGCGATCGTTTGCCGCCGCTGTGGCAACCCTGTAGGTTGAGCTAACCGTAATAGATTGTGATATTCTTGAACTGTCATTTGCTGGTTTCGCATTTGCAATGCCTGAAAGCAAATTGTGCTCAAGCTGACCAATGGTGAACATTGAGAGCGCTAAAGGGTACCTGATTCTGCAGCATTTGAGGCGGTATTTGCCTTTGTAGCTGTTGAGCCATTGCTTGATCATGTGCTCGGTATTGTTGAGCAGCTGCAGCCGCATTACCGTACGCTGCCGCCGCGGCAGCGTTCCGATCCATCTGACGAATTTGTTGCGGCCCATCGATTGGTCGAAGTTGTGGTGGACCGTCGAGTGGGCGGAGCGGTTGCTGAGCGGCGGCATTCTCAAGGGGGCGCAGATGTGGCGGTGTATTCAGATATGAGTTTTGCATCGTTGTCGGTAACGTACGTGCCTGCATCGCAGCTGAACAGATATCGATTAGTGGGCGTGCCCACCATATGAATGGTGCGACAAGACAGTCGTAATTCGCCGCACAGGGGGCGTGGAGAGCGATGTCGCCTACCACACGCGACAGGGGGGTAGTTCGCAGCCGCGTCAACTTTTTCTCTCTAATAAAGTACCTGAACAGGAGGGAGAGACCATAAGCTTTACTGTTGTAGTGGACTTTACGCGGACTGCCAGCCCCGCCCACTGCCGCGTGATGCGTCACGCACGATGGCGCAGCGAATTACGATTGTCTTGACCACTCATTTCCCTTTAGTTGTCTTACCTTGTAATGCAGCTTGCTGCATTAGCTGTTGATGTGTGAGCATATTGTTCTGCATTGGAGGTATGATTGGCAAAGGTCGCTTGCTAGCTGGGTCCTGAAACGAAAGACGCTCTTGAGTGTGACGTATACGCACATTACGACAAGGTAAGAAAAATACGGTAGAAATTTATAATAGTCACAGCAAGAAACAGTCCTAACTACGTAGATTATTTACTTGTTATTTAAATGTCGGATAACAGCACCGTCATGCTGCGCTCAGGAGATCCGGGTTAGTAAAAGAAGCACAGCAAGTGACGTCGCTTGTGCTGCATTCGAACCAAAATCTAACAGATTCAGCAAAAACCACTTTATAAGAGGACACTCAGCTTTGATAGTACATTGGCCATCGTGGCGAGTCAAAAGAGAGAGAGAGAGAGAGATAAAGGACAGGTGGCGCAGATCGGCTCGGTGGGGACATTTTGCTGGTCCCCATAAATCACTACCGATGTTTCTTGTGGGGACTTATTAACTCATGTAAATCAATGGAATAGCAGGAGCTTCGTTGGTACTTGGCAAAAGTCTACAGTTCTCACA